CCACAAAAACCACAACTCCAAAAAACATCCACAATTCCAATTTAGAATTATCTGTGTAAATGCTTTACTTTACCAGAAGCTTAAAGCAAAGATGGCCAAATGTGTTGCCATTGCAGCACCCATTGTGTAGTCACTTTGCGACTACAAAAAATTGTTGGTTTGAATAAGGGCTTTGGTCAGGCTCAGCAACGTGGAATATTGCTTAACAACAGGATATTTCATTTTCAAATTCTTTAAACAACCTTTGTAAATCCTTTATGTTTCTGCTTATCATAACATATGATAGAGCTCAAGCCGAGCTCTCTCTCTAACAGCCTATAGTGATCAAAACTGAAGAGTTACCTTTTATTTCATGGGTTTTCCTAGAAGACTACAAGCTTTAATACATAAAAAGCCTTGTCCTCTGTCACATATATCCCCTGCTCTATCCTTCTAAAATCACTTCCACAGATCAGTTTTTCAGTTAATAAAATGCAGTAGTTATCTTCAAAAAACCCAAATGTACCTGTGAAATTCTTGCTGTATTTATTCCAATTCCCCTTCCTCACATTTCTATGCATCCCACTGAATAACAAATACAGCAGCCACCAGTAACATTAATGGAGTAGGTGAAGCTGAGAGTTTTGCACACTTATCCAAGCCTGTGCAGTTGACAAAGGCCATTCTGCCATCAAAAGAAGAGTCACCTTCCTTACTTAAAAGGATTTTTGTTTTGAATGCCTCAATTAATGAATGACCAAGGTGAAAGACCTGGGGGGCCAACTGGACCTACTGGATTCTCTGAACTTTTTTCACCCCCAAAATATATGGCATTTGAATACAGTAATTTGCATTATGTTTTTAACATGAAATTGTACAAAATTAAGTGATAATCCCAGCATATACAAAGAAAAAAAGTATGATCTGTGAAAACAAAAGAATTTTCAGTAGTATACTAAAGTCTGGAGACAACAGTCTTGCAACTCATGCCTATGACTGCAGCAATCATGCTGCTAAATCTGTGTCATTTGGAATCTTTATAAAGAGACATACATTTTACATAGACCGAGAGATTTGAACTACAGCTTCAAACTCTCTATGTAATGAATACTTTCTTCTCTTACCAAAAATCAGATAAAGCAATACTACCAGGTATGCCTCATGGCATGGAGAAGTAAAACGCTATGTGTGAAACAGTCTGCTAGGATCCATCAAGCTTCTGCAAGTTTAAGTAATCATAACCCAAACCAGTAGTAATGTTAAAAATAGCAGTAATGGAATATATACTTTTTCTGTAAAGGGAAGAGCAGCAGTAGACTTAGATAACTAAATTATTAATTGACATTCCTCAAACCCAGTGCTAACATTGCCTTGCAATATACAAAACTCCAGCAGTACTGAGGTGTTTCTCTATTCCTGATATGATTTAGCTATTTTGGCCAGACATGACACAAACATAACAAATCTCAAAGATTAGCATAAACTAAACAAAAAGCTAGCCTTCCAGGAATCAAATGTGAAAAAGCATAACAAAGCTGTAGGAAAAAATAGTTTCCACTTAATATATAAAAAAATACTAACTAACCTTGGTATGCCTTGACCTCTTATGAATTTTAATGTTTCTTTAAAGAAGAAGATAAGTTCAAATTGGAGTTTCACTGTAAGAAGTCTCCACAGTATTAAAAATTCTTAAAGCACTCAGAGATTTGTACATAGTGCAAACTTGGAATACTCTGCAGTCAGAGCAAGGAAAAAAAATATATACATCATCAATAAAGAGAAATTGCTGAAAATAGTTTGAGATACTATGGCCTAAAAGCAATGTTACGTATAAATTCACATTAGAAATAAGCAGATCTTACAAGGAATATAACAGGGACTGATCATAAATGCAGGCAACGTTTGAGAAGCCAAAAAATGTAGGATTAAAATGAGACTTGATGAAAGCCAAGCTGAATTAGATCCTTAATGATTTGGGGGTTTAAATATGTAAGTTTATTTAACTACATCAATTACAAGAAACAATGAAATACAAAAATCACTTGTTATGCAATGGTGATGAAGAGGTTAATAATCACCTAGGTACAACCTCAAAATTAAACAAATATTCTGTATTATTTACAAATAAAGATGCTGCTATTGGACAAAGATGCATATGTGGAGACAGCTAGATGCAAACCAAAAGGGTAAATCAGGGCATGGAAAGCAAAAGCAAAGATCCAAGAGTTTCAAAGGTTCAGAAACCTTAGAGGAATTCACAACCTCACTAATGAAATACTGCTGCAGTATTTATTTTGAGATCAGCAAGGAAACATAACTTCTGCATGTGGTAGAATGATCAAATATAAAACATCAACGACCCAGCAGTTCATGTAACAGCTCTTGTAACTGTGACACAGTGATCCCTCGGGTGGTAACATTCTTTTGCATCCAGAAACACCAAATTGCTCTTATGTTTCTATTAACTGACTTTGTACCTGCCACTGTACTAATGGCAGTTACTGCTTCAAAATACCATCTTTCTTTTTTAACCTCTCTGAATCTCTCCTGTGCCAAAGACCCAGGAAACAGCTCTTCTGCAGCTCGTGCATTTGTTAGCAGTTTATTGAGATCATCATTGGGACTCAAGAAATGAGCAGGATATCAGATAGTTAAGCTGCTGATTCCCTAGGACCTGAAAACTTACCCTTAGAATCAAAGTTAGATGATGTGATTATTGCAGGTATTACCTACATTTATAAACTGAACTCCCATACTTTGCCATGGAAAAATGTTATGAATACACAATCTGATTTTCATCTCTGTTAGAAAAAGAACCACCAGTGATTCTTGGAAATCTTGGTGATTCTTAGAAACAGATGTGAAAAGGTCACTATGTTCCACTTCAACAGCTGCAAAGGAAAAGGAATAATGAAACTGAAACAGATAAACATGAAAATCCAGTCTGCCAATTTTGCCTCTGACATATGATAGACCACTTAATCTGAATTACTTTTTGTATTTTCCCACATGGTTTGGTCTATTTTATTTATCAAAACTACTGAGCTCTTAAAGATTTCTGTTATTAAGGAAAAAACCAGCTTGTTTTATGAAGAAAAGTGCTTTTTAAATGGAAGGAATATTACAACGAAATCTAAAACAACTAGTTGTTGCAGCACTAAATGACATTTGTGGCTTAAATTAATGAACCCTGTGAAAAATTAACAAATAAAATGTACTTTGTTATACAGATTCTCCACTGTGCTTAGAGACAAGAAAAAAAAACAACAGACATTAACCCAAATGATGTCCAAAGCCACTCCATACACATTTTTAACCTAAAGGCACTGAATACATGCTGATTATTGAAAAGATGGATGAACAATGACTTATCATACATTTTCTTTAAAATGTTTTGCAAAGTTATAAAAACATTGGAAAGGCCATTAAAAATTATATACTGTAATTAAAAAAAATAAGTAGGAAAATATTTAATAAGGAAGCCAAAGTGTATTAATTTCCTTTGTTTTATAATAAAGGATGTAAGAAAAACAGTTAAAGAAAGGAGCTAATGTCCTGACTCTAACAGAGCTGAACAAAACTTTTAAAATGTGATGTTTAAATATTTCCAGGCCAAATACCACTGTTTCTATATGAAGGAAGTTACTCTGAGAGACTGAAATTGTCGAATTAGTACTTCAGTTTATAACTTTTATTACAGACAATTTTAAAGAGCATTGAAAACAAAAGGAGAAAGGTAACAGTTCACATCTCCACGTCTTGCAGAAAAGCAAGTTGCAAAATCCTAGCACATAGAAGTGAGGAAATATGTTTGGGCTTTTTTCCAGATAATTTATATGTAAAAAAACTTTATCATTGTGTCATCAAATAATGGGAAAAGTCGCCCAGAGGTGGTACATAGTCCCCAGCCCCTGTGCTTTGGCTGTTTGTAGGTCCCCAGAGAGAGGGGACAGAGTGAGGCTGGATATGAGGGAGAAACTCTTTGCTGTGAGGGTGGCGAGGCAGCGGCACAGGGCGCCCACAGAAGCGGGGATGTCACATGTCACATCCTTGGAAGTGTTCAAGGCCAGGCTGGACAGGGCTCTGAGCACCTGGTACACTGGGAGCTGTCCTCGGCAGGGGCGTTGGAATTGATACCTTAAAACTCCAGCTTTTTTGTATATTTGTAATCCTGCAATTCTTTAGTGTATAAATCTAAACTCCATATAGAGTGCGAGCAGTAAGAAACGCAAACAAAAGTGAAGGGGGTGGGGACCAAACTTGGGTAATGACTTCATTACCTGAAACTGTAACTGGGAGATTAACCCCCAATATGCAAAGGGATCAAACTTATGAAAGTATGAAAACCTGTGACCTGCGGTCCATTTTTGGGTGCAGCCCCTTGGTGATCTTCGTGTGCCTTTAAAGTACCTGGAGACTCTTTAATAAATACAACCGCTTTTTATTCTCGTAATTTTGTTTAGTCTCTGGTTGTGGGTAATCTCAAAAGACATCAGACTGAGCTGCGCGTTGTGGGCACAGAAAGCTTCAGGCTGGAAGGGGCCGCAGTGGGCGCACTGGTCTAACCCCCCTGCTCCAGCAGGGCCACGCTGGAGGCCATTGCCAGGAATGAGTCTCGAGGGCTCCCGGCT